CTTTCCTCCCCAGCTGCTCCCGACCCCCCAGCAGTCCTTTCCTGCGCATCGGGGGTCTGCACCCAAACTGCGAGCACCCTTGTGCCTATCTTCAGCCAGACTTACACGTACCGTGACCCAGGGCCAGCAACAGGAGGTCAGCCATGTCCTCCAGCTTGCTGCCCACTGGGTCACTGGTCCTTCTGTGACTTTCCAACATGATAATCAGAAGGATACGTCCTATGCTACCCTGAGGCCGCCCTGCATCATCGCATACTTTTGGAATTACGTGCATATTCTCAAGTTTGGTATTTTATGTACGTGATACGTGGGGGAGCCAGCAGTCAGATACCTGGTTACATCAGAAGTTGCCTTTCCTTGCACATGCTGGACGTGTTTACTGACTCCTGGAAAATGCCGCGGCCCTCACCAATACACTGCACAGGCCACATTCCTGAAACACCGACATCCCGCCCGGAGCCAGGCGTGGTCCACAGCAGGACGGGCCGCGTGAGCCGGAGTGTCTCCACATCCTGACCTTTAAAACGCTCTATTCTCAGCCTTCCTCCTAATCTCATACTTGCTTTGGCCATCCTCCTTTACAAACCCAGATAACTGTTCGAGTAGAAATATCTCCCTTCCTCGTGCCTTCCCTGGGAATTTGCCGTTCCCTCTCACGATGCGCCACTCGGGCCCCCCATGTGGAAATGTGGAGGAATGACTGCAAGGCAAGGAGGAGAAGAACCCGCTGCAGATAGAGACACCTGTACAAGTTTCTAACCACAGGCCTTCCCAAAAGCGACTTTTCTGCACAATTAAGTTACTTTTGTTTAGTTTTGTTTTTTACGAACCAAATAGTAAAGTTGTTTCATATTGGGTGAAGTTTAAAGTGCTTTTAAAGAGCAAAAGAATTGTTTACATAAAGCTGGCTTCCTTTTATTGTATTTTATTATAATTTTTGTCTTTTATGGAGTTACTTTACTCACGAAAATTCCCAGAAAGTCTTTAGTCACAAATATAGGTATGTCATAGGACAGGAAAAAATTACGTTTGTATAAATTTTAACAGGATTAAGCAACTCTTTGGGAGACTATAATTGTGTCTTCACAAGCCAGACAAGGACATTTTGAAATTACTTCAAATTTTGCCTCATTTTCTTATTTTTTTAGTTTTACTTATAATGAAATTAAAAATTTTCAATTTGTCCCAATTATATCAGACTTTTTAGAACTATTTCTCTAAATTTAGTTCATTTTAAAAGAGGCCATAATACACAGTGGGAAACGTGACTAAAGCAGTGGCGTTGATTTAATTAACTGTATATTAATCTCGCAGGGTTTCTTCCGGCGGACTATTCGACTAAAACTGGTTTATGACAAATGTGACCGTAGCTGCAAGATTCAGAAAAAGAATCGAAACAAGTGCCAACATTGTCGCTTCCACAAGTGCCTTTCGGTTGGGATGTCCCATAACGGTAGGTAAGGTTGTCCGTTGCATTTTCCCAGTCCATGCCTCGATTTACCCTTCTTGTTCGGTGGGAACTGACTGTTTCTGGAATGAGTGTGCTGCAGCATTTAATACCCAGATCATTTTTGAACCATAATGGCCTAAGGAAATAAAAGTCATAACTGACACTCAGCAGGGCGCTTGGGGTTAGTGCCGGAAACTTCGAACTACTGGTAAGACTTTGATGTAAGATTTGAAAACCAATTGGAAATTCCTGGGATGTCTTAATGTTCATATCATACATATAAAGCATGTGCCATTTTAAACATTTTCCCTGTTACGAATTTATATTCAACCGTACTCTAAATTTAGAACGCGCCGATGATTATGTGAAGGTAAATTTAAAGTAACGAGTTCATGAAAATTGTGAATCTTTCCTCTTGAAAAAGAAAAAGATATTCTATAAACTCACTCTAAGGCTCACTTTCATCTCCTTAACCTGCAGGACCGATTATGTGCTGGCGACAGTAAACACCCTTAAGCCCGTCAAACTAACGAGACGAGTAACACTGTTGCCTTTTATTTTAACTTTTTAAAAAGGTCCAGGATTCATGGAGTTTGGGTTTTATTTTCATCTCTCCCACGTAGAAAGTTGACTGATATTGAGAGGTGGATTTTGTCTTACCTATAAATTTCCATTCGTAGTTTAATTCATGGTGCGAACTTTTCATGCGGTGATGTGTCATCATCCCGCTCTGCGTTGCTCATTTCTGTTTGTTTCCCATTATTCCATTTCTCTCCCCAACCCCCCTAGCAATTCGCTTTGGACGAATGCCAAGATCTGAAAAAGCAAAACTGAAAGCAGAAATCCTCACATGTGAACACGACATAGAAGATTCTGAAATGGCAGATCTGAAGTCCCTCGCCAAGAGAATTTACGAGGCCTACTTGAAGAACTTCAACATGAACAAGGTCAAGGCTCGCGTCATCCTGGCGGGAAAAGCCAGCAACAATCCAGTAGGTGTCTTTGCTGTGTTTATTGTCGAGTCTGAAGTGTTCCGTTGGCAACATGTCAGCTGAAGTCTTAGGGAAGGATTGAGGAAATGAGTATTAAATGTTGAGAAAAAATACTGTTTATCTCCAAGGCAACCAAGAGACAACAGGATGGAAACATTTCATTCAGAGACTCTAAGATGTAGATTGACAACAAACCCTATCTACTGGGTAAGGTCCACCCCAAAGCTCCTACCGTCCATGTTGTGTGATGACTGTGTAATTAATACAGCAAAAAAAAAAAAAAAATCTAGTTAGTAGCTTATCAGATTCTAGGGTTGTTTCTGAAGTGCATCAAAAAAATTTCATTTTAATGCCAGGAAATGAAACCATTTCCCATTCCAAATGTGCTCTTGTATCCTTTCTCCTAAAACTTCCCTTCTCTCCAACCCCCAGGCCCCAACACACACACAGACACAGACACACAGACACACGGACACACACACACACACACCCACACACACACACACACACACACACACACACATCTTCCTTTTCTTCAATGAGAAAGCAGTGACATCATCTCAGGGCTCAGAAAGGGCCATTTGTTTCCAGACACTTTACTGTCTTTTTTGGATAGTTCCAGACATTTTCAGTAGCACCTGTGAGTGCCCCTGGCAGACAACCCTACACATTGCCACCTGCTCAGCCTGGCACCATCCTGCCTTCATCCTGTAGTTAATTAAGTCTTCGTCTGCATTATGGAAGTAATCTCAGAGCTGCCTTCAAAGAGGGGAACTACCCAAGGCCAGCGAATAAAGACTGTCTGCCTTCTCCTCCGAGCCTGGTGAGACAGGTTCATTTGTCCTGATGAAGAGCTTGAAGTGATTCTTGTGGGGAATTACAAGCTGGAACTTTTAGTCACAGGGAAACAAAGTGTTTCACAAGCTACTTACTTTCATGAACAAACCAAACCTCTTTTTTTACTGGGTCTTTTAATTCCTTCATGAATTCTCCAATTAAATAGGCTGGGATGATGTCACAGCCCTCACGGATGCTCCGTGACACGGGACTGGGTCAGGGAGGCGATGTCTGTTTCTCAAACACCCAGATCTGCGGGCATGGGGTGTGGAGAGGCCACGTCTGGTGTTAACAGCTGCAGGGGCACCAGCTCACCTGAGGGGGTGTTGGCGGTGGTGGTGGGGTCAAGAATTTGTCTAGGTCATAAACAGATTTATTCATGCAACTGTGAAAACTTAGACTTGTGTAGGGGGACAGGCATTCATCATGGAGCGACACAGGGCCACTCTGCCATCACTCAGGGCTGGGCTTCCTTCCCTGTCCACCCAGGAGAAGGTCCCCTGCAGGGCCTGCCAGGGCAAGGGCACTGAGCTCCCAAACGGTCACCCAAACTTGTGGTGCCTTGATGGCTGCTGGACAGATCTTCGGTGTGGAAGCAGAGCTCTGGCTGGCTAGAAGCAGGGAGTGAATTCACCCTTGCAGTAGACTATTCTTTTGTCCCGTGAAGACCACTCTGTAGCTCACGGCTGAGCTAGAACCCGCCAAAATGCTCAGGGGACCAGGAGGGGGACACTGGGGGTTCGAAGGCGAAGGATGGAGGAATGTGGAGCTGCACGGAAGCCTAGTAGATTACGTCACTTTGGGGAAAGACGGGTTGCAGCTGAGGGAGGCGGGTGATGGCTGGATAGCAAATGTCTGTTTCCATCTGGACAGGCTGGTTTGAGCCCCAACTCTTAATACCGACTGTTTAGACTTTGGCAGTTCCAAGAATAAGGCGACAGTTAAGGAGCCGTGCTGCTTTTTAACTCTAAGAAACGATCAGAAGTTTATTCAGTTCAGATGAAGGGGACAGCTTATGTTTATTTCAGATTCCCATATCACTTAAAATTGTCAGGAATTGTCTTTAGTCTTTGGATCTCTTCAGTTATGAAAAATCTTTACCTTCTGAGCATAATTGAATTTTAGGCAAAACCACGAGTCAGCTGCAGCCAGTCTGGTGTGCATACTGGGCTTAAATAGACTAAAATGTCTTGTTTGGAAAAAAAAAATTAAGCAAAGAGACTCATGTTCGAAATGTGGCTGAGAATATTGAAAGAGAAACTTCACCATTCCTGTCCGCATTTCAGGATCTCTGGGACAAGGGCCTCCTGCACCCTCCTGGCAAAGTATTGCCCCTCAGACAGATGCAGCCTGGCGCCACATCGTGGCGTTTTTCTCTTGCGTTAGGTTGAAATATTGTACATACAACACAAGTTGTCTTTCGATTGAAAAACATATTTTATAGTTTCCATAAACATGTAGTAAAACCTAACCAAACGCTTATTAAACAGTTCTATCCACAGCAATTCTACCAACGAGTCAGATTTTTACTAAAAGATCGTGCTGCCTAATTTTCATAGAAAACGCCTTTCAGTGTGTTTTGGGAATGAGTTCGTGTAAGCGATACCATGACCCAGGTAAACAGCGTCAGGCATACACGCATGGTAGGAACAGCTGGAGTCTGCTGGTCTCGGCGTGGAGGGATTTCGGGGGAGCTGCGGCTTGCTGCCTCGTGCTGTTTAGAATCTTTACAGAGTGCTTTACCGATGCGACCTCCTGTGATGTCAGCTATATTCGTATTTAAATTTGAGTATAAAAGGCACATTCCAAAAGGCATGGATTTTATAAATAGTCTTATGAGGAATGTTTATCGATCAAGCTTGGCAAATTTCGACTGTTCTAATCTAGTTTCTCTCTAGCTTCGATAAACATTGACCTCTTAATGGTGCCACTTGTTTTGAATCCCAAGGGTTTCTAACTTTGCCTGTTCATGGGGCCTGCCTTCTAAAATCCAGGTGATGATTTTATAAAAATGAAAAGAAATATCTGTTACCATTTAAGCCCCGTTTACGAGAGCGCGTTTCAGTGCACGCACAGCTGGTGCAGGGCTGGGTCTGTGGGCCTGTTTCAGTGCACCGCTGGGGAGTGACGCCGCTGTTGCTGTTTTGAAATTTTTAATCATTTTTGAACAAAGGGCCCCGCTTTTTTCATTTTGCACTGGGCCCTGTGCTAGCCCTATGAGATGCTCTCCCCAAAAATAATAATAATAAGCATTCTGTAGCCAAATACTTTGGGAGCCATGCTCACCCTGCCTGTTCCCGAAGACCCTCAGCCACACTCATGATGTTACAGGCACTCGAGGCCCTGGCTTCCTTTTAAGTGTTTCTTGAATTTTTTCGACTGTTGTACTCTTTTTTTTTTTCCTTGTTGAACGGACTTTTAAAAGGCCTGTGATTTGAATAAAGGCAGGGTGGCCAAATAGTGTATTTTCTATTTCTAGTGTATTCTCATTGAGAGAATGCTGTCGTCTGTCTTTTAAAAGCGTTTCTCTAATGCATCCTGTAAATGCTGATGCCTTCGATCTGAGCAGCTACTTCCCATAGAGCCGAACCGCTCCCAGACTTTCCTAAATCAGTGGCAACCTGGCTGCTTTTAAGGTCTTTGGAGGAAGGCGGTTTGAGTCTTCCTTCATCACAGTTGAGATATTTAGGAATTTGGCTTGGAGTTTTGTGTTCAGAATATTTTTTCACTCATGGTAATTTAAACATTATCCCCTACCCTCAGCTGTGGAATCGGGTTATTTTCATCCAGCACTATATGGCAAATTCTAATTCTATTTAGATATTTTAAAGGCAATCCATCGGATTGTTCCAACACATGCACCTTGCTTCTGTGCCGGGTACAGCCCACAGGTGCCCTGAGGTGGTTTTGTGCTGCGATTTCTCCAGATGTTCTCAGGAGCCCAGGAATAGGGGACACATCATGGCATAGATCCACATGCATTGTCGGCAACCTATTTTGCCCACTGGCAGAGTGCGTCTAAAGTCACCGGGCTGCTCATGCGCTCTGTTTACACACTCCAGAGAACAGTGCTCGGCCCACAGTCCATTGCTGTGCTGTACACACATTCGGCATGAATTTTGCCAGCAGAGATATTCACGTCCATTCTCCTGAGCCCCACCAGAAATGGGTTTGTTGGCTTCTTCCCTCCACTAGGTCTCTATAAAATGCAGGACCAGTGGACTTAGGTGCAGATGACATGGAAATGTATAGGTTGCTGCCCTGGGGATTTAGGACTTTTTCCAGAACCAGAACTTGGGGCCCTGATGCGAAGGATTCCGTCTCATGCATGGGAAACAAATCCTCCCGTTTATCCCCAGAGAGCAGGGGTTTAACAATGCTGTTTGCTTACTTCTACACAAACGCCGGCTCTGAGTTGTATGTATTTGTTTACATGCCTGATTTTATTCATTCAGCAGTCAGTGTTAGATAGTGATGATCTTCTCTAAAGTTTATACAACGGTAAAATTAAGAATTATTGTAATTAAGACGACTACAGTAGTATTTAGGACTTCAGAGAACGTTAGAAGATGTTGAAAGCGCTTTGCTAAGACTCTCCCGTTACCTTTTTGCCAAAATCAGTACTTCACTTTCTTAGCCCCAACCACTATTATCTTACTGATTTCTGTTGTTAGCTCTCTGGTAAGGTCGGCTTGTCCCCAGCTCATTTTGAGCTTGTTTAAGGAGGAGGACTGTGTTTTGTACATATTTTTTGTTCTCCACGGGTGATTTGGATACGGTTTATTCATAAGCAGGAGGACAGCTAGTCACCAGTTACCTGACTGACCTCCAGCGTCTTTCTTTGCAGCCTTTTGTCATACATGACATGGAGACGTTGTGTATGGCTGAGAAGACGCTAGTGGCCAAGCTGGTGGCCAATGGCATCCAGAACAAGGAGGCGGAAGTCCGCATCTTCCACTGTTGCCAGTGCACATCTGTAGAGACTGTCACGGAGCTCACGGAGTTTGCCAAGTCCATCCCTGGCTTTGCAAATTTGGACTTGAATGATCAGGTCACTTTGCTGAAATACGGAGTTTACGAGGCCATATTTGCAATGCTGTCTTCTGTGATGAATAAAGACGGGATGCTGGTAGCATACGGAAGTGGTTTTATAACTCGCGAATTTCTAAAAAGCCTCAGAAAACCGTTTTGCGATATCATGGAGCCCAAATTTGATTTTGCGATGAAGTTCAACGCCCTGGAACTGGACGACAGCGATATCTCCCTTTTTGTGGCCGCTATAATTTGCTGTGGAGGTAAGTTACCAATTGAATCTGCTGCTGCCATGTTGCCTACAGACTCTTTATCTTGAATTTGACACTGGTACATCCGCTGTGAGCGGGAGCTGGGCCGCAGTGGAGTGCGCACCGGAAGGCGGGAGGGTATCTGAGCCCGTACTTCGCCGCTGACTAGAATTAACTGGTGAGAATTATGTCAATAACATATCATGTTATAGGATCTGTATAAATACATATTGTACATTATGTGTATGTTTTATTTATAATTATAATCATATCAAGGATCTTATCAGATATGATTAGTAATTATGTAATATATGATGTATAATATTATTATGACAGGTGCCGCATAACCATGTTTTGGTCAACGACAGACAGCACATACGATGGGTCCCCTAAGATTATCATGGAGCTGAAACATTCCTATGTCCTAGTGAGGTCACAGCATCATAACGTCATGGCACAACGCGTCACTCACGTGTTTGTGGCGATGCTGTCATAAACAAACCCACGACACTGCCAGTCGTTCAAAGGCTCAGCACGGACAGTTACGGGCAGTCCATAACCCCTGATACCGACAATAACCGACACGGGACTCGTGTATATACTTGCTGTAGTTGGCTTCTGTGCCTTCAGAGGGTGCTCTTTCGACTGAGGAAGAGAACGTCTGCCGTAGCACAGTGTGTGGTGTCCCCACGGGCCACGCACGGCCTCGGCCCTCTCGTGCCTGTGCGTCTCTGGATGGCATCGTCCCCGCCTGTGCTTCGTCTACTCTCGTGTTGTTCTGTGCAGCCACATGCTCTACGGGCTGGCAGCCCAGGAGCAGCAGCTGCGCCCCACAGCTCAGGTGTGCAGTGGGCTGTGCCGCCCAGATGTGAGTGCACTGCGTGATGCTGGCACAGTGACGGTCGCCGAGGACGCCTCTCTCAGAAGGATCCCCGTCGTTAAGTGCCGCGTGACTGTATATTACGTTATTATAACATACACATCTGTACTGTATTCATTGTAACTGTATTACACATGGGATTCTATAAAATGTTAGCACAGTCACAGTCACTATTGGTATGTTTACGCTATTTCAGAATAAACAATCAGTAGCTAATAGGTAGCAATTGTGAAATTTGCTAAAGGAAATAGACCCCAGTGAAGGTAATTCTGGGCTTCTCTGTGGGAAGCCGGCTCTGCAGCCCCCAGGTTCTGGGCTCGGTGTCGTGTTCCTTTAAATAGCACTGTCCTGGGTCTTGGTCACCTCTCTACTGTAAAGATACTATTCTTCCCCAGCCTTTGGGGAGACCGATGGGGCGCCTGCTCCTACAAACTGCTGGAAGCTGTATTGTCCCCCGTGATTGACACTCGCAGAACTGAGGCTGTCGCAGCCACCCAGACTCTGTAAAGGGAACTGGGTGAGGGCAGTCCAGCCCCACGAGGCCTCTCCCTGTCGCCACCCGCTGGACAGCCCAGCAGAGGAAGTCCTTACGTTCTGGCGAAAGTGTAAAATGGCAAAGCAGTTGTACGCGATCCGTCTCTGTCCTTTGTATGCTCAAGACGTGTGTTGTGGGTAAAAAGCAATTACAGAACCATTTTTATGTAGTGTGATCACAGTTTTATAGAAGAAATTATAATCGCAGTAATCCTATAGAGAGAGAGATGTCTAGTGAGATAAATGTCTGGTGTGGTAGGGTTAAAATTATGGGGGGTTCACTTTATTTTTTAAAAATCTCTATTGAAAACCTTTAAATACTTGACCTTTCAACAATGGAGGTTCATACTTAGATTTTTTCAATAAATATATGATCGACCTTCCATGTCCCCGGGTTTTGGATTCACAGATTCAACCAGCTGCAGATTAAAAACAGTATTTTCTGTCCACAGCTGGAAACCCACGGATGCAGAGGGCCAACTGTATGCATTGATCTATGCCCTTTTATGTAACGGACTTGAGCATCCATGGATTTTGGTATCCGCAGGGGTTCCCGGAATCAGCCCCCCACCCAGATACCCAGGGATAACTGTGGTCAAGTTTGGGGGAAGTCAAAAGTAACACGTGTATTTTGACTATTGGGGACCAGTGCCCCAAAGCCCCTACACACACCATATTGTTCAAGGATGTATTTTATAACTGGAAAAAAAAAAAAAACCCATGAAAGATCCACATCCTTAACAACACCTTTGAAAACTCCGTTAGTGAGTGGGGTTTTAAAGAGAGCACGCTATGGGGCATGGCTGGGGGTGTATTTTCTGGACCAAGGGGAGGACGCCTGGTCAGAGACTATCCAGGAAGTCTGGTGCCCATGGCAGAGCTCCCCCAGGGAGGTCGCCCAGCATGAACGTTGGCCCTTCTTGCACCTGACCTCCCCATTTCAGGTCTCCTCGGCATCCTCTCCGGCTGGTGTCTGCCCTCCATTCATATCTCGCCCCACTTTCTTACTGCTGATTCATGTCCGAAGCTACCTGTAACAGTGCTTTCTACCTCAATACTCAGGTCTCACGAGGTCACTTTCCTTAACTATTAGTGAAAAAGTTGAAACCGAGTATCTGGTTTTGACTTGGGAAGAAGAATTTCATCTCTCATATTATGCAAAATTGGTTATTGGAATCACCATAAGAATGTATAGTTGCTCCTAACGTTTTGAGAGTTTCCCCTGACAGGTGGTAGCCAGGTAAACCCAGAGGGAAAGGGCGACCCTGCAAGGCTTTGTCGATTTAAGGGAGTGTAAATATCTAGGAATGAGCATTTGTCCTGCCTGCCCCTGTTAGGCCTAGCGACTTTGGAAAAATCTAGTTCTCTACACAAGTTGACAGTATCTAAAGACAGCGAAGCTTCTGGCGAGAAAGGCCATGTAAAATCGGGACGTGTGGCCTCTCAAACCCATGAATGCTTAGGCGTTAACATGTCACACTCAATCGTCTCTTCTTTCTTTTGAGGATAGATCGCCCCGGCCTTCTAAACGTGGGACACATTGAAAAAATGCAGGAGGGGATTGTGCACGTGCTCAAACTGCACCTGCAGAGCAACCACCCAGACGACACCTTCCTCTTCCCAAAGCTCCTTCAGAAGATGGCGGACCTCCGGCAGCTCGTCACCGAGCACGCGCAGCTAGTGCAGGTCATCAAAAAGACAGAGTCGGACGCGGCTCTGCACCCACTGCTGCAGGAAATCTACAGGGACATGTACTGAGCTGTCGGAAATGAACAAGGGAAAAAGGAACTTTTCAAGGATTTTGAACGTCGACAGCACTACAAACAAGGAAGGGGAGCGAGGCTGCTTTGCACAGATGTCCACCGTTTTAACCTTCGGGAACAGGAAGTCCAATCCCCAGGTAACGAGGACCCTGTTCCACACTTCCTCCTCCTTTTAATCAGCACTTCTAAGCACGTGCAAAGTACAGAAATGCTGGCGGTAAGCGGCTGATAGTCAGGACTTGGAAATTAAGGAGGACGATGTTATGTGTTCTGTGGTCTAAGTCGAACATGCCTGGTGTTAATCAATGCGGACTTCTTTCAATCACGTTAGTAATTCGCCACCAGGTTAGCTGGTGACCTCGGAATACCTAGTGTGTCTTCCCTTGGTACCACCGGTGACTGTCGTGCGCCTTTATAATTTCGAAAACTAATCAGCACTTTTTAACTTTTATAATCCTGTAAATCTAGGTGTATCCAAAGGTTAGATATTTAAAACGCAGCAGATATTTATTCAGATGACTTTGATTCTGCTTCCCGAATTTGAAGAAAGACAACGTGCTGCTTTTAAGCATAGGATTTAGAATGTCAAAAAATTATTTGATAAGCTACGGAAATGCAGCCGCTGTTAGGTTCAGTTCACTTTTCATGGTTCTGCTACGTGGAGAGGCCTATTTCCAGGTCGTGTAAAGGTCCCGGAAAACCGCTGGGCCGCGCTCTGCACTTGACCACAGGCCCGCGTTAAGCCAGCGTCTGTGGCGAGCGGGCTCACGACGAGCTCCGAGAAGACCGCGTCCTGGTTCCCTCACCTCTGTTTCTTCTCAAATCCGAACCAACCCAGCCAGGGCGCGTTGGGGGCCCCGGTAGCGTTGTGAGGGGCAAACCGACAACTTATCTGTACATGTCCTTCCAGGCCCTGTGGGCCAAGGCAGCTCCTTGGTCTTTCCCCACGCGTTGCTTTTTAAAATGACGCAGCTTTATTTTCGTAGCTCTTGGTGGTAGCAGCTGCTTCTCGGAGTGGAGAAAACAAGGCAAATGTGACTTTAGAGCAAGGGTGGGACAGTGGGGCAGGGGGCTGACAGGTCACCTGAAGAACCCTCCAGGGGTTGGGGGAGGGCTAAGTCCTACGGAAGGTGGTTTCATTTAGTCTCAGGGTTCACAATGGGCTGGTGCTTTTTACCGAGATTGAGGTAGTTAAGTGTCCTTTTTGAACCACGGACGTAGGGTGGTTTTTCCAGTGTCTAAAATACTCGTTTCAGCCTTAAAGATCCATATGTCAGCTTCGGTCCACCTGTGAAAGCAGCTTATGGCTTTTGTCTGGAGCTGGTGGCCCTGGAAGCACTCTCTCTTTCTGTCCGTCAGAGTGGAGCCATTGTCCCTTTCCTCCCGGCCAGACTGGGCTGCGCCTGCCAGTGCCATCGCGTCCACAGGGGCCACTGGACGCCTTGTCCACAGGTTGTATCCTTGACACCCCTCCCCCTCTATCTTTAGAAAATCTGGCTTTTTAAGGTCACTATCATTTGCTTTCGAAGAAGGATCAGGACTGATATTCATAAACTTTTCAAGATCAGCATTAGGAAAATGCAGCAGTAGAAAAAACAAAACTATGAGACTTCGATTTGAAAAAAACAAAAGTTACAATTAGAACATCCTTTTAAAAATTCCATATTCGGTGGGTTTTTTTTTTTAAGATCCAATCAAAGGATCTGTTGGAAGCAAAAGTATTTCCACACGTGAATGACACCGATCAAGGGGCCACCTCAGCCAGAAAGGACCCAAGCTTTGCATCACGTGCAGTGTCCCTCCCAATGCTCTTGCCTGGAATGAGCACCCTGCACTGATGAGGCTGGGGCTATGGGCCATCCAAGGTCACGGGTGTGGGGGCCGGATACCAATGCCAGGTGTTTTGCTTCTGTTGACCATTGTCCTCACTCCGATGGACCCGAGAGAGATGCCTCGAGACCTGGGCTTTCCAAAAAGTCATTCATAATGTTTAGATTTTCACAAAAGCGATCTAGAGTGGCCTCGTGTTTCACACCTTCCACAGTAACAGTCAGGCTAACAGAAGGCACGGGTTCTGCATTAGCAGCGTTACCCAGCGTTAGTCCTCTTGGGACCTGGCCAGACTACCGGCACTGTCCCTGGTGAAGCCACAGAGGAAGCCACAAGTGACCTCAGCTTGAAAGTCACTTGACATTGTTCACGTTTATCAATAGAAAAAGTCACATGTTCCCATTCATTTTAAATAACAGAGTCACCAATTGCCACTCAGAATATTTTGGGTCACCTAATCAGAGATTTCTTAGAGTGTTGACAGTCAAATACAGATGAGTTATTCACCAGTTCAGTACAGCATAGTATTTCAAATAGGGGTTGGTCGGGGAGTGCAGGTCTTGCTTGCTAGGTTTCAGCTGGCATCAGCACAAAGTACAATAGAAATGTAGAAGCAGGTTCAAGAAGCTTCCAGCTACGAGTGTGCAGCCACCTCTTGAGCTACATGCTCCCCCTTGACCCCTGCTTCAGCAAGTCACTACTTAAACCTGCTCCTTCGTGTCCCTGTAATAGCCGAAAGTGACAAACTCCTCCGAGACCACAAAATTACCAGACAGCCTTGGCCTTGAGTGCTGACGGGAACGGAGGGACAACTGGGGCTCATCCGAGATACGCCTCCCAACCGTGCTGCGAGCTCCAGGCTTGGATCCCACCCGGTGCTCTCTACCTGATCCGACAGCATGTCCCTCCCTACCACCTCTCGTGCATTTCCGGTTGGGTGTCCCTCATGCAGGAGTCTGTAGCAGCCACCCTGCGAGAAGCCAGAGGGTTGTACTATAGGAAGCCATTTCGGTGACGTCCAGTATCGTCAAAAGCAGGAAGCTCCCAATTGCACCAGCGAGCGCAGGATTCAGGAGCAGCTTGAATATTGTCAGAGCACTCGAGAGCCATTCCTTCCTTCCCACCTTGCTGTCCGGTTTCCCTGAGACGTTTCTATGACACTCTGGTGAGGTGGTTCAGAGCATCTTCCTAGGGAGCATGTATGCAGACATGCAAATAATGAAGGTGAACTTGAGGACGGAGAAACTCACTTCCCGGCACATTTGAGAATACCTGTGAGAGCTGTCCTTGTTCTAAGGGATTCTCGCTTTTCATTTTAAGAGCATAGAATGTAGCTTTCTGCTAGTACCGATGTGGGTCTGCCACGTGCCCAGCTAAGATGCTCATGGCCTTGAGGACTGTGTGGCTGGTCCAGGAACAGCTCAGCATCCAAACACCTGAGCAGGGGCTCAAGGCACAAGTCAAATCCTCTGATGTTTGTTCATAAGTAAACTATCAATTCAGCAACTACTGTTCCCCCAAATCTACAGCGTAACAGCTACCTCAGTAGAGATGTCAAAAGGCCCTTAAAATTAAGACGCTCAGACCACCGCCGCCTCCTCGGTGCACCTCTGGCCAGGCCTTCTCTGGTCAGGGCGCGGGCTGCATGCTCACCTCTCGTCTGCACTCTGAGAAGTGAAGGTTATCTGACTTTCAAAGGAGCTTCTGTAGTTTAAAGGGAGCCTCAAGGATACACATGTACAGTAGCCGCTGCCTGGTTTAGTAAGCAGCCTGAGTGAGACCTGGTTTAGGAGAAGTGGCGGTGGCCAGACCTGCAGTCACGCACCACCCGAGGCCTCCGCTTTCAGTCGGCGGGCCGCACACGAACCCGTCCACAGGGAAGTCCTGCCTGGTGGGGACGGAGGGAGTGCTTGCACACCAGCCGGAGTCAGACTGACTTCCAAGGTCCTGACCCCCTTAGTCACTCCTGGGCCTCTGTGCACAACTCCAGGAGTTTCCCGCCTCTTGCCCCCTTTTCAAAACACAGTGACACTAGGCGCTCTTAGTGGCCAGATGTGCAATGGTCTTTGGTCTTGACTCAGTGGTCTCACTTGTCTTTGAAATGTCTTAGGAACTCCTGTGTTAATGTGAGTCCGTTGTTTCAACCGATGGCATTTCCAGCTAAAACCGACTTGACCACTGGCCTGGCTTTCAGTCGAGGGCTGTCAGGGACCCAGAGGTCAGCTACCTTCAGAGCACCTCTTCAGCCTCTGGTGCTATTCGCAGCGCAGATCCTGCTGGGAAAACGGGAAGTGCTCACAGCTGCCATGTATGCCGTGGATCTTTCCAGCTTTCAGAGCAGGAGCACATACCAGGTCTCCTCTGACTCTCAGCCCCTGGAGGGGTCTGGATGGAATCACCCCCATCTTAGAGTGAACGGCCAGGCTCCGGTAAAGGGCCACCTGGTGGCGTTGCAGGTCTTTGGCCCAGGGTAGCACCCTTCCCCCACCTTCCCACTCTCGCCAGCCATTTACAACAGGCGGTACAACCCGCCCGCCCTCCGCCCATGCTCTTGTGCTTCATAGCCTGGTCACCTGATGCCATGTTCCTGGGGGAGGGGGGGGTCACTTGCTTCCAGCCTTTTTTTAAGTTCACAACAGTGGTGTCAATTCAGGAGAAGCAAGGAAATTATGCTCTGTATAAAAGTTGTAAACAAAGACCAATGTCACCCACAGAGGGCCTACCAGTTATTAAAAAATGTCCATGGATTTTCCCCACACACCCAGTTTTCACACCAGTGGCACTGCCAGGTACTGGGCAGTCCCAAAGCCAGATCCTGTCTTTGTTCTCAGGTGAAGTGGCCCAGCTTCTCTTAACTCTTGGGCCAGGCTGACTCATGGACACCCCGTTGAGTAACAATTCTTAGCAACCAAGTCTGGCGTCGAGTGACCAGTCCAGGAGACTCCTGCCCCCAGACAGCAGCAACCTTCTACCGGCACAGTCGGAAGGGAAAAGCCTGTGAGCACCCACAGCGCAGAGAGGCTCATAGGTGGTGCAGTGTGGTCTAGTGGGGGGAGCAGATGAAGGTCAAGGCACAGAGGTTGACCCGTCCACACACCATGCTGACAGCACCTCCCTAAACCGAGGGGTCTTTGATGCCATAAGGTGGTCAAGTGCAGGGACTCTGCCCAGGGCACACACTCCTCCGAGGGACCTGCCTGAGAGATCTAAGGTTGGGCTCTGAAGATCGAGATCTGACGTTTTTGCTCAGATTCACATAGTTTTAGGTGCCATTTTAGGTTCCATTTCAGGAAAATGGTCATCGACACACACACACACATCCCACCCCCAGCCTGTGAAAAACCAGAGTAAGAATAAAAGCAGCATGTTTGGTCTGACTCAATATAGGAAATCCAATATGTTGTATTTCTCTGGGAACTACAATATAAAAATGTGATATTGGAAGTTTTGTAAGAAAAAAAGACAGCGAATTGTCATGCTCTAGTTTAAATAATTATGTAATGCTTCCCATTATGTTATTTTTGTGGGATGCAGCAGGTTCTTAAACTTCATTTCAGTAGAATGGGCTGCAAGCTTATTTTGAAAAAGCTACAGTGTGCCCTCCCTATGGGAGCAGACATGACTGGCCAGCACCCAGGCTGCTTTGGGCACTGCCTTTTCCCAGCTCAGGGCGCCTTCTCGGATCTGGAGTGGGGCTACTGACTGACCATTTGCTTCTCAAAATTTCAGGTTGAGACACGAGAAATATAACTTTACTTCCCCCCACCGTGAGAAAGGGGGGCCATAATTGTGGTCCAGCTGAAATACAGCCGTGTCCTTTTGGAATCCTTTGCCTGTGAGAACAGACCCCTCTGCTCATCTTGACTAAAGCAACTGATAACGTCGAGGACTTCAGTGGTCCCATGGCTGTTAAATGCGTTATTTGCAAAAAAAAAAAAAAAAACCTGAGAAACGTCCATTTTTTCACATCATAGATAGCAAATTGTCCTGGGTCCTTTTTTTTTTTTTCCTTCATTTAAAATGTTTGCTAGTTTGGCTCAAATGTGAAAACTGTGTCTTTCCCCAGAGCAGGGAATACCCCGGCCTCCTCCGCTCTTGCTCTCCATCCCACCAGCATCTAAAATCCCTTAACACAAGTCGCGCAGGCCTCCTGGGACAGGGCCGAGCTGGGGAAGGGGCGTGGGGCCACCTTCTGAAGTTTCTACTTGGCCCTGTTGAGGCAGGGAGGTCAGTCACACTTCAGGCCCCGAAGACGAATGAGTGACCCATCTTTTCAAGGTAAAATCATTCACTTTGGGGAAATATGTTCTCTTTTCAAAAGCACACTTGGTCTGTTCTTTTTTTCAGGCCTAAAAAAAATGTACCTCACAAAAGATGAATACCACTCAGTTCCCTTTTTGGTAAGACTGCAGTATTTGTGTTCGATTATCACTATTTTTTCTACATTGTATGATAAAAAGAACCATGTTAATAGCTGTATCCTAAATACTGTGATTTGTTTTTTTAATCCTAATATATTGTACTAACTTACAATCACGTATCTAATAACAAACATTTAGATCTTTGAAATCAGTGTTAATTGACATGTACTCTTAATAGCCTGGCCTCGTACCTATCGGGAAAAAAAAGGAAGGAAGCTGGAATATCTTAACTGAGATACAGTTGCACATTCGTCCTTTCCATGTCTCCTGAGCCACTTCGAATTTGTTTCTCTGTGTAACTGTTCCCTCTGCCACACTTCACATGCAGAGAAGTACAGTGAGTCTGTCATCTCTACCAGCAAGGCTGCCTCAGCCCCAGGTTCGAAGTCACCGACTACAAAAAGCGTGTCTCAAGATTGTGAACTCCTATGTAGTAAGTAGCCATCTGCTCTGCAAGGAATTATTCCCTTGGGTTATTACCAAAGAACTTTGCAATTTGAAATGTTCTGATGGAATATTTGCACTGGCTGGTTCTCTGGCACCCTCCAGGTGGCCCAACCCAAAGCTTAAAACACCCTGTAACCCTCCCGTGCATTGTCCCGCCCTCCAACCCCCACGAGGAGCCACAGGACCCAAGGGGACTAGTGTTACACACACATCAGGCCAGTGCAGGTTTCCTGGTGTTTATCGTTACTATTCTTGGTGCCTTACACTCAGTATTTAGGGGCTGACAGACCCCTTGTGTTTATACTAAATGGGAGCAGCTCCAAAGCGAGATTCTGCTGAGCAGGCTCTGACGTCCTCACCGACTCAGACGCTCTCTCTGGGTCTGGCTGGGGTCGAGGAATCAGAGAAGCCACGCCCAGGGGTGTGCGGAGAGAGCCGACGGCACGTGGAATCTTCCTAGTGCCGTTAACGTGGTTCCAGGCAATTAGAAATGGTTATAAAATAACTTTTTGAAAAAATCTTGGGTCTTATTCATTTCCCCACTAGGAGATTAAACTGATCGTATATATTGATTTATATCCTGAATTTATGAAACTTCTGTGTTGGGAATGTCCTACTGTAAGACTGATGAATGTAAAGAGTTAATTTCAGGGTACAGATCTGCCTTAATGGTTTTAAAAAGTAAACTATTTTTTAAAATGACTTGGTGAGTCTTGAGTGATGTTGTGAAGATGAACTGTTTCGAACCAAATCCCCAGCAGTCGTGTGTGGAAAAGTGCGCCCACCCACTCGCCCGAGGCGGTCTTCCCTCGCACAGTCCCTTTCTGTCCTTCACAGAACGTGCCCAGGACAGTGCGGCCCTGGGACAGGATAAAGAAAGCAAGGAGAGCTTTTACAAGGACGGGCATCTGAGAGTCCCAGCCAGCACATGCCTGGTCCCAAAGCTCTTTATTCTTCTCCCATAGAACGCATTTCTCAGACTCCCAGGCGGTGCAGGGGGGCCTCGCAGCAGTCACACCACAGGCCCCCGCTAAGAACCAGCAGACAGGAAGCGGCTCACGGTCCAGACGGGGCGCCACGGGGAGCGGTGCCGCGGGACCCCGGCAGGCTGCGGGGTTGCACTTCGCAGGCACCAACGGCCGCGTTCGCTGTGGAGAGGGTGCAGGCCAGCAACAGAAGGCTGTGAGGTGCGGGCCCGAGGAAGGACCCGACGGCGTCCTCCGCCTCGGCGTGGAGGTGGGCCTGTCCCCGGAGCTGGAGCCAGAGCGCGGGCGACGAGAGGCCGGAAGCACCAACGCTCGACCTCCCGATCCACCTCCAGGTGCGGCGTGCCGGTGTGACCACACAGGGTCCCCCCACACCGGACCCGCAGCACCACACAGCGGCCTTGGTCCCTGTGCTGCTGTGTCCACAGGGCCTGGCAGAGCAGCGTGGACAAGGGAACACCTGAATCTGCTAAGTCCCATGAGCCCAGCCCTGCATGAGCAGGAAACGAGCCGGGGGCCAGCCCTGCAGGAGGAGGGCGAGGGGGCCAGTAGTCCCGGCCTCGCGTCCCTTTGGTCCCGGCCCGTAGTCAGCGCCAGCGAGTTCTGGGGCGCCGGGCTGGGCTCGCAGGGCGTCTGTCCGCGGTCTGCCCTGTGCCTGCCACCGCGGCACGGCCCCGGTCCCGTCGCTGCTGCAGGCCAGACTCCAGCTCCCTCCAGCTGCACACGCTGTCCCAGCGGCACAGCACTCCCAGCTCAGCCCATCCGTGACACAGGCCACAGAGGCCAGGTGACCCAGGAGCCCGTGCAGGCGCCTCTGGGGACCTGGCAGCCAGCCGCACTCAGGCCCGAGAGCTGGGCTGGGCGGCGGGCCTCTTTGGTGGAAACTTCCTTTTCTGCAAGTCTTGCCGGATTTCCTGAGGGAAGGCAGCGATGTTCTCCTGGACACAAGGGAGGCAAAACCGCTTGGAGTAGAACAAGCTGCATTCCTGAAAGAACACGGAGCGGGCTGAGTGCCACAGGGCACCGTGCAGCCTCTCCCAGAGGCCAGCCCCTCGCCACGCGCTGGGCATGGGGCTGGGCAGGGACCCCAG